CTTGGGGGCAGATAGTGGCTTAAATGCACCATGGGAATTTTATGCCAATCTATTTATTCAAGGAAAATGTAAGTAATATTAAATTGTGACCATGCTGTACATGTATTTTGTTGATTGACTAGACCATTACTTATACTCTAAGTGATTAAGGGAAGCTTCTTGAAGCACTCCTTTAAAAGAGAGCTACAACACAGTTCGAAGAAATTGGCCAATTTTTTTGAAGTATTCATTTGTATCCTAGTGTTCATGTTGAATAATAATTATTGCTTTCAACTAAGTTTTCCATGATCAGTATTAAATTCAACCAGGTACATTAAGAAAAATGCAATATAAACAAAAGATACCACGACCGGGCATGTATAACTATATATAGTACTTCAAAAATTAAAAATGATTCAGATTTGAGATCAGCTGGTCAGGGGTCCAGGGATCAAGCACTCAGGCTTTCACTATTTGTGTTTTATTTTCTTCTTCTCGCTCTATCCACTAGGCTGTACATGCTTACACACATGGTTGTATCAAGGCATCCTCTAGCCTCACCCTCTCCCCTACCTCACCTCCCATCACCCCATCATACTTTTGTCTGCTAAGGCAAGGCATATTAATGATACTGAATGATGGGCTGAAGTGTCGAAATTAATTCACATTTCCTACGGTTGCATTGCTACAAATTAAGCCACTGGGTTAAAATTCTTGCACCGCTTTTTCATCCAATCAGAACTAGAACCAAAACCAAACTTGACTGGCTCACAAATTTCTTCTGGGCTTTGAGATTTGATTGGTGCACTTGATTGTCAGACTGAGTCCTTTGTGTTTAGCTTGTCAAAAGACTGATTATTTTCAACTGGTACATTTTGGTTTTACAACACTCAATTTAAAAACTAATCCCTGTAAGTTTCTATTTGTTTAGCTACTTGGAGTCACTGGAGTGATCATGTTCTAGGATGGTGGCACCACAGACATGAGCCCAATATTTTGTTCCTTAAATACGAAGACTTGCAAAAGGTAGTGACAATTAATTTTATTTTATAAGACAGTGTTATTTTTGTTTTGTTTCATTAAAAATAAGACTTTTTCACTATGGTTGAATGGGTGCTTTCATGGGAGCTTTTACCTTCACAAAACCAAGGGTTTAAGTAGCAGCTTGCAGAGACTGCATTTAGATGTAGTGTACAATGTTGCACAAAGGGGGTTGGGTGGGTGGGTTGGGACTGACAAGTGTGCCTGTAGGACAGTAGATTTAGCCACGACCATACAGTCAGTTGTCTTTAAATGCTGCCCAAAACTGACTTAAATGATTGGTCTACAATCTGTAAATGCACTGAAAATATATGATCCTCACTGTACATGTAACCTGCATAGCAAGCGTTCCCGTAGGCTGTTCCCTTACAAAGAGCTTTTTCCACATTCTGGCTACGTGCAGATTGGAGTGAGAGCAAATTCT